CCTCCCCCATCTCTCCCCCCCATGCACATCCCCTCTCCACACTCTACGCCCCAGCAGCTCCCACGTGCACATCCCTCCCCACACTCTACGCCCCAGCTCCCCCCGTGCACATCCCTGGCATTCTGGTGATGCACATGTCCGCTGTCCCCCCCCCCGACCCACAGCCCTGCTACGCCAGCCCTTCCCCCCCATCCCGACCCACAGCCCTGCTACGCCAGCCCTTCCCCCCCATCCCGACCCACAGCCCCGCCGCTGCCCCCCCACAACCCACAGCCTTGCTACGCCACTCCTGCCCGCCCCTTCTGACCCACAGCCCTGCCGCTGCCCCCCGCCCTCCCTCCCCACAGCCTCCTGGGCTAATTGAGGGAGGGCAGCGTGCTGGGTAGAGGGCACATGCCAGAAGTTCACAAATCCCCCGTCAGCCAGGAGCATGGGGGCGCTGCCTTGGCACTGCCAGGCAGCATGCTGAGTTAGCGCGTGCCACCCTCACTGTCTGTGCAGCGCTGAGGGGCGTCCCTGTCGCAGGCCCGACGGGCAGGGAGCGCAGCACTTAGAATTATTTACTCACAAAAATTATAACATGTCACCAAGAGGCGAAATTGTTTGATTACAAGCAGGCTGGGGTCAGTGAGACCTGGCTCAGTGCGGACGCCGGAGTCCCAGGGCTGTGCTCCGCTGGGGCCGTCCGGTGCCAGCTGCTGTGAGCCAGCTGCGACCCATGGCAGCCAGCAAACCCGACAGTAGTGCCAAGCGGGGGGCGGGGGCAGGCCAGGCTGCTGCGGGTGTGGGGAGGGGGATCTGGGGGCTTTGCGAGGCCCTGGGAGGGAGTGTGCAGCCAGGAAGTGTCCCAAGAGGAGGCTCTGCGCCCAGGCCAGCGCACCATGGCACGGAGCTCCTGTGTGGGCTGCAGGCCCTTGGGCGGGAGTAGCCTGGAGACGGGGGCGCCAGTGACTGAGGAAGGGAAGCGGCACCGGGGGCGGGTGTGACGTTGTGCACTCTATATGATTTTATATAAATATGCTAACGAGTGAATATAATGTAACTGGAATATGCTTCATGCAAAAGGTCTCTTGTGAGGTATTATTACAAAGCTTATCATCTACTGAGTGTGATCATCCTATTTGTATGAATGTATCATTCTTGAATTTGAAGCTAGAAATATGAAGTATAACTCTGAGTCCTATTGTAATTATGCAAAGTGTGGGTCATTAATGGTGGTTTGGAATCTTGATGACTCCCATTAACCAGGACAATTGACTGGATGCTCTGTTTGCAGGCCGGCCTTCCTGTGAGTCAGGCTGGAGGAATGAAGGCTTGGGGTCTTACAGTGACATGTGATCATGTCACCTGAACTGGAATCCATCTTTAACCTGGTATCTTTCCATTGAGAAGGAGGGGTGGGAACCCAGAGAGGGACAAAGGATTCCTGCCTTATG